GACACTAACATATATGACTGTATATTTCGCTGTATTTACACTGAACAAATTTTGAGAATAATTTTCTCTTTTGGATTCCTTCGTCCTATTTAACTCAATTTCACCGAAAAAAACTTTATAAGAGTATTATATATCACATGTTATCATATAATGAGCTGCAATTCTGTTTCAATAGATATTTGTAGGTATTCGTTAGGCATTATCTTTTTGTAATATTATGAACTTAATATGAGATCCCGAGGGAAACAGTTAGATTTGTTTTCGTCAAGGAAAACATCGGGACTCGAGGGAAAACAAAACTAACTGGTTTCTTGAGGGACCTGACATTATTGTTATTCTTTTTGTCATTATTGTTATATTTCTTAACAAAAGAATATGAACAACCGGAGCGAATCAAACAGTCGAATCGGTTCTTAGAAGAACACAAATTTAATTCTCAAAAACTTTGAATGAATGATTTACAAAGTATTTTCCTTTCATTATCTGCATCTTTTTCCTCCACTAGCTGCTGTTTCTCTTCAAGGATAACTTTGAAAACCGTTGCTTTTTCAGCTTGAGGCTTCATGTTTGTGTTGTTGTGTTCATTCACGAAAAAGAAAACTGGCCGTGTTTTTCCCGCCTTCTGTCTCGCCACTTTCCACCATGCTCTGATCACATGCTGTAATGTATCCCAAGCGTGGTACAAATGCTCAAATGTATCACGATCGGGATAAGTTTGATTTTAGTCAAGGCCATGTGACCAAGAATCAACCAATGACAGTCTCTGTTTAGTTGAGTGAAAGTCTAGGAATACAACAATAATCAATATTAACAAGACCTTTTTATGCCCATTGCACGCCACTCTTATCTGTTTTCATTATTCCAGCCGCCTTTTGTAGCCCAGTTCCAGTTCCTGATAATGGCGCGGTTCAAGGCTACCGTTATGAACTGGGAGCTACCCTACGTATCACCTGTAACGATGGTTACAATTTGGTGCCTTCAGGCTCCTCATTCAGGACTTGTATTTCTGACGGAGCAGGGGGAGGACTGTGGTCAGGGGACGATCCTGTGTGCGAATGTAAGTTACGGTATATTTTATTCTAAGGTTCACAAGGCAAAATTGACTCAGACGCTGTTCTTTTCCAGCTCAAAAAATAATCGAGGAAAACAAAACAGAAAATTGGGATCCTAACCTAAGTCTTTGAGGAATTGAAACATGTAGTGCAGCGGTTACTAATTCCGAATATTTAGGTTTCCATATTAAGAAGTACATATAACTGGTTCGTCTCTGTGCTGGAAAAGTATGGTTGATAATTGAGTGAGATTCCTGAGAGATGAGATAAAGCAGCTGCTTTAAGACCTACCTAGCTCCAGGACGCTCGTGATCGCTTATTTTAGGGATATTTAAGTTAAAGAATGTTAAGGAGAGTAATCTTAAACAGAAATTTATCCATATCGTAGGCGAGATTACATCGCACACATACACTTCTTATTTGCTATTTCTTGTAAAAAAAAATGTCAGAATATCATTATAGTAAACTGCTGACATTTTAATATGCTTTTTGTGTAAACCTAGTGGTGGACTGTGGTGATCCAGGAGATCCTTACGGCGGATATCGTGAAATAACAACCGATACTAAGTACCAGTCCATTGTAACGTATACTTGCAAACCAGACCATCACCTGGAGGGAGAGGACAGTCAGGTTTGTCAAGCTAATGGAACATGGAGTGGATCCAAACCAGTTTGTTTGGGTAGGTGGCAAATGTTTCTTTTTTCTTTCTTTTTTTTTTTTGTTACTGGAAGCTGTGTGATTGAATATCAGCATCAATGTAACTTTGGTATAAAATGAAATACTGAAGGGAATTATGTCATTGCTGTGCAGGCATAGCAAAAATAAGAGAACTTGAAACACCATAAAGTTCTCTGAGAGCGCTGTAGGAAGTTACTTTTATTATATGATAAACAACTTTAGATACGAAGGTTCGATAAAGCTAGGGCGATTTAGCCCCAAGCTTATTTATTATTGGTGACATAGAAACTAGTTTGGTCTGGCCCACCGAAATTTGAGGATGCTCAGTAATTTCCAAGCTTCTTCCGCGAAGACGCTGAAAATGTAGCACTGAATTTACATAGTAAATTAAATCACCATAAAGTTTAAAGCTGTATGTGCAGACCAAAGTAGCATATCCCCTTCAGGTTGACCACTATCTGCCTTAGATTATAAAAATAGAACGATGACTGGAGGTTGACAGTATTTATATAGACTATGCATGACCATTTGTAAGTTATGCTAAATCAAGGTGGGCTAGATTACTGGTATAACACAATATGTGAATGTTTTTGAAGGTATATACGGTAATATAAAGATTCACTGAACCACTTAGTAAATACTTGAAAAATGCGAAGAAATAGCAACAACATTCAGGAAAAGAGAAAACGAACACGCATGAAACAAACAGGGTAGTAGATAAACCGAGAAGAGGAATCGATAGAAAAAGGTACAAAAGTCAGGACTGAGGTCTATATAAGAAACTGAGCTAGCATTTGAATAAATAGAGCAGATACCTTTATTGTCTTGGGTTTTCCTCGCAGAGCGCTCCTGCGGCAACCCTGGTGTACCTGAAAATGGAAATAAGAATTCGTCGTCTTACCAGTATGGTAACTCGATTAAATTCGAGTGTAACGTTGGTTATACATTACAAGGGTCTGCTGTACGAACTTGTGAGGATAATGGCTTGTGGACTGGAACTCAGCCTACGTGTGAAAGTAAGTTGAATAAATTCTTTTGTTCTTGCAATAAGTTGTTATAAGGAATGACGCAGAAACACTTTTAAAAACGTTAATTTAAACAAAAATAAACATTGGTAAGCCATTTTAAGACATCTTTTTCACGCGGTTACTTGGATATCCCGTAGTTCATGAGTTGCGTGCTTTTAACGTACCTCTATCACTAGACCTTGCTAAAAGTTGAAGAAATATCAATTAGCTGAGCAGATTTTTGTATCAACATTTAATTCTTCTGTTTAATAATTTACCATCGGCAGTTGAAGCGTATATGAAACTCAAATTCTACCAATTGAATTGTAACTTTTAATGAATAATTAAAATTTACAACGCCAAATACGAGTGATAGCGTTATCCTGTTATTTTCAGTTGTCAACTGTGGTGATCCAGGTACACCAGATAACGGAGTCAGATATGGTGATGTCTTTACTTTCCTGAGCACAGTGCTGTTAGAGTGTGACCCTCAGTATAAACTTGTTGGTGACCTAACCAGAACTTGTCAAGCAGATGGAAGCTGGACAGGAAGTCAGCCTATCTGTGAGGGTAAGTAAAAAGACAAACTGTTGCTTAGGGTGTTTAACTGATGGTCTTCGTGAAGAAGAACAGAAAATTGTGACAAAAACCTCTTCTACCGCGAATTTTTAGACCACCGGAAAGTTAGATCAGTCATCTTAATTAATAATTTCCAGCAGATTTCTAGATCTTACCCCCAGGCAGGTATAAAGGTTTACCTTTATATAGAGCCGTTTACATATAAACCCATAAAACGGCCATAAATCGGCCCGTGGACCACACATAAGCTATTTTTTTTTTCATTGAAATCGCTTCATTTTCGTAGGATACAGAAACGATATGTTTTTCCCCATAGAAATCCTTCTATTTAGAATGTTACGCAACAATGCCGATGCTCGATCGCCGACGCTCATATTTCGAAGCTTGGGCTACCTGTGAAAAAAGTTATTTTTTTAGTTTCTTCTTTCTATTCTTATTCCCATGCGGTCAATCAAACGCGCTCTTAGAGGAGCTGTGCTTTGCTCAAAGTGATGTTCAGTAAAAAGAATTAAACGAAATCAAATAATAATAATAATAACGTAATTAACAGAGTTAAGGTTTGAAAATAGATTTTAAATAGAGGTAGAGGTTCGGTGGCCTAACGACTAATTTCCGGAGCCCGTTTCTTTCGACAATTATCGGATTTAGAAAGCTGTTGTTGTTTACATTCAAGACAGAGGTTTCAATCCATGTAGGTTTACAGAACAAAAAGTACAATACTACAGGTTGGAATGGAATGGTTCTTTGGCTAGAACCGATGCTTCTTTTCTTTACAGATTTTGATTTGAATATTTTATTTTGGCGTAGAAAATTTGCCGACATTTAATTTCCAGAAACGAACCTGTAGACCCCGGATTAAGAGAGCTTTCGTTCTCCTCTGTTGGGGTCCTTATCCCAATTGCAGAGGCGACGCCTTGTGTGGTATCCTCTTCTTCTGGATCAAAAGTACAACTTCCGACTTCCAATTCGATCTTGAGTGAGCGCACTAGTCTCAATGAAATTCTACATTTTTTATTTCAGTTACGAGCTGTGGGCAGTTTTTAAGTGGTCCAAGTGGAACCGTGAATTCGTCAAATTATCCTGCAAATTACGATGATGACGAATACTGTACGTGGCAGATTCAAGTTCCGGTGAACAAAAAAATCCGGCTTGACTTTACGGAATTCAAAACAGAGAGTGGCAAGGACTATCTGATGATCTACGATACAAACCATTACGAAACACCAACCATTATATTTGATGGAACAACTTACAAACCGCCCCCTTTTACCTCATCCGGAAATGTCCTGCGAGTGAGATTTACCAGCGATGGAGCTACAACAAAGAAGGGATTTAGTTTTAGTTACCAGCAAGTTGGTGAGTAACGTGTTGTAATCAGTTTGCTCTGTCGGGTAGTTTTCCTGTAAAACGTCATTGAAGATTTGGTTTTTCTTATATTAACCAGCATTCCTTGCAGTTAATGTAATTCTATAATTCTTCAGGGTTTTGCTTTCTTGTACAAACTAGGGCTATATATATTTAGTAAAATCCAACTAGTGGTCTATTATCAATGCTGCGTTCTGATTGGTTGAGCTACTACTAGGCTATATGTTATAGCCCATTAGTAGCGCACAGCGTAGGCTTTTTGGCGGCAAAAAATGAGATTTATTTCTGAAAGAAATAAATGGTTTTATGCTTAATGTG